ACTAACATTATACAAAAACTCGTTTTTATTTGTTCTTTTGGTTATTTTAGTACACACATAATAGTCAACTGGCGTCAATTTAAATAGAAACACTTTCAGAGAATTTATTTGAAATGATATTATTGATTCTAAAAAATTTCTTAAATTTTTTTTTTTTTTTTTTTTGCGAAAAAACTCCAAAATTAATAATACTTATATACTTCAAACGAACTTTCTTCATTCCTTTTTTTTGACCAAAAATAAATTTAGACATTTGCTTTTCGTTTGTTTATTTAATTTTTCACAATCAGCTTCTAATTCATTAAATTCCGATTCTTCGATTGGTTCATTATTGTAAATATTTTTGAATTTCTCTATTTCTATATCTGAAAAACTTTATTATTTATTTCATTATCAAAGAAGTCATCATGAAAATCTTTTATCTCATACTCAATAATATTTTCTGTTTCAATATCTTCATATGAAGTCCTCTTAAAATTATTTTGGAGTTCTTGGTTGTTTATTAAAAAATTATTTAGAAATTAAAATTTTCTTTAAAAATCTGATACAAAAATTCGGATAATAATCAAATTTAGACATTTTTTGAAGATCATTCCGAATTTTTGGAAATGATTTTTTTTTAAAAGAAGTGAAGGTATCACAAAATTTCATTAATTGCCGATCCGTGAATGAACCAGAGAATTTAATGGTGATCGGCGGGGCAAAATTTCAAAAAAATTGTCAATTAACAATATTCAACAAACAATAAAGTACTAGTTTTTTGTATTACGGAGTGATTTCTTTTTATGTATGAAATAAAGCAAATCCTGCCATTATTAGTAAAATCACTACTACTATCATTATTAATAACTTGTTACTAACATTATACAAAAACTCGTTTTTATTTGTTCTTTTGGTTATTTTAGTACACACATAATAGTCAACTGGCGTCAATTTAAATAGAAACACTTTCAGAGAATTTATTTGAAATGATATTATTGATTCTAAAAAATTTCTTAAATTTTTTTTTTTTTTTTTTTTGCGAAAAAACTCCAAAATTAATAATACTTATATACTTCAAACGAACTTTCTTCATTCCTTTTTTTTGACCAAAAATAAATTTAGACATTTGCTTTTCGTTTGTTTATTTAATTTTTCACAATCAGCTTCTAATTCATTAAATTCCGATTCTTCGATTGGTTCATTATTGTAAATATTTTTGAATTTCTCTATTTCTATATCTGAAAAACTTTATTATTTATTTCATTATCAAAGAAGTCATCATGAAAATCTTTTATCTCATACTCAATAATATTTTCTGTTTCAATATCTTCATATGAAGTCCTCTTAAAATTATTTTGGAGTTCTTGGTTGTTTATTAAAAAATTATTTAGAAATTAAAATTTTCTTTAAAAATCTGATACAAAAATTCGGATAATAATCAAATTTAGACATTTTTTGAAGATCATTCCGAATTTTTGGAAATGATTTTTTTTTAAAAGAAGTGAAGGTATCACAAAATTTCATTAATTGCCGATCCGTGAATGAACCAGAGAATTTAATGGTGATCGGTGGGGCAAAATTTCAAAAAAATCGTCAATTAACAATATTCAACAAACAATAAAGTACTAGTTTTTTGTATTACGGAGTGATTTCTTTTTATGTATGAAATAAAGCAAATCCCATAAAATATTATATCTAAAAAATTAAAAAGCTTGGAGTATTCATTGAAAACTTTTCTATGTATGTTTGTGAGATTTTGAATATTTAATAATATAATAAAATTTTCAAATTTTGAAATTTCAGTTAAAATAATTACTCTTTTTTTATTATTATAATTATAAACAATTTTTTATATTCAAAATGGACAAGTTTTTCACAAAAAACATATAAACCTAAGCAAAAAACCACAAAATCAAAATAAAGACCTCAATGAAATTACATTATTAACATAAATCATTCTATAAAAAGATGGATCAATTTAGGCTGGAAGTTCAATAAAGCTGTAACTCAAAGCAAATGGAATTGTCTACCAAACATTAATGGGCAAGCCTGTTATCAAACAGACAAAAAGACAAACAACAATGTATGGGTGTATAGGAAACACCAAAAGAAATAGATAAATATTCTTTATATAATAAAATAATAAAAAAAAATTTGACAATTTTCAATAAAAACAAATTATAGTTGAAAGAATTGTAATAAAATTTTTGAAATAATATTTATGATTTTTTGACGTTTTACTAAATGTTTATTGTCATAATTGTCATTATTCAAAAAAATTTTTTTACCTTTCAAATGCACATTAGGCTCTTCATTTAATCCTTGAGAATCATCTTTTTCATAAATATCAATACTACCACTACTACCTATTTTTTCACCTTGATTAATATCTATAACACCTATAATTGCTGAATTATTCTGATTATTTTTGATTGATTCTTCTACCTTTTGCGCTGATAATTTTTTCAAACTTGCTGCATATCGTGTAATCCAATTTGCAACTGTTGCTACTTCAGGAATATCCTCAACTTGGATTTCACCCTCATTAGCTAAAATTTGAAGTTCACTTACCATTTCACTTGCTGTCATCCAATTACTTTTGTTTACATTACCTGATAAAAAGTACCCCTCAAGATAAGATTTTACATTCTTAGTTATCCGTTTTCCTTTTCCCCTTATTCCAAATCTTTGCTTGCTTTTCAATGCCCATCCTTTTTCCAATTCAAACTCAGTACCTGTATTAAAACCATAGAAATGACCATTATATTAAAATTAATAAAAAATAAACAAAAGATAATATAAATTTATTACATATACCTGATGACTGTGTATTATTTTTTGATACAATATCCTTGGTTAACCTATCTATATTTACCAAATATATATAAATATAAATATAAATATAAATATAAATATAAAAATAAATACTGCATAACCAAAATAAAAAACAAAATAATAATAAATACGACGAATGACTAGACATTATAACTCAAATTCTAAAAAACAAGCAAAAAAAAAAGCAAATTTTCATGAGAAAGAATCTAAT